GGGGCTGTGAGGGAAGCCCGGGTCCCAAGTCCCGAGTGCCTGCCGGCAGCTAGAGGGAAGCCCAGGTCCCGGGTGCCAGAGGGAAGCTGGTGCCAGCAGCTGGGGGAAAGAAGGCCTACTCTTGGATGAATTTCGTGCACCCTAATACAATTGGACGCAAATCCAACAGCAACTACCAAACAAGAGCTAGACATTTGTCTTTCAAATGAAGACCTGAAGAGCAAAATCCCAACAGTGAAAGAGACCAGAGAAGGAGCAAAGAGCTAGCTCTTGCTAATCAAAGGCTTAGCAAACCTCTCTCCACTCACCCATTACTGCAGAATTATATAAAACTTGAAGCACAGACTTTTTCACATGGCTCATCTTTTTAAAAAAATTTTTATTGATTTCTGAGAGGAAGGGAGAGGGAGAGAGATAGAAACATCAATGATGAGAGAGAATCATTGACTGACTGCCTCCTGCACGCTCCCCACTGGGAATTGAGCCCACAACCTGGGCATGTGCCCTTGATGGTAATCAAACCCAGGACCCTTCAATCGCAGGCAACACTCTAACCACTGAGAAAACCAGCTAGGACCACATGGCTCATCTAAACTTACCATCTCTTTGTCTGTAATCAAGTTACAGAGTTCTAGCCAGGCTCCCCAGTGCAAAGGCAAAACATGAGTAGCCTCCACAAATACATCAATGGCCTCTTTCACCAAGTCCAGTTTTCGAAGCACAACACCATACCTAGGAAAGAAGGAAACAATCACAGAAGGTAACGCTCTATAACAGCTCTCTTCTGCTCAGGAGAGTATGTTATAGAAAGTTCCAACTTACTCCAACACTTACAGATAAAGGCCAAAACCATCAAGTTCCCGAGCTTGGTGCTTTTTGCTGAGCTCCACTCTCAATTCTCTAAGAGCCTCATTTTTTACTTGTCCTTTTTCCAGGGGGCCTAGAAAAGAAACAAAGTCTCTGATCTAAGAGAAAGCTGCTGGTCTTCATTTTATAGACCTAATATTCCTTTTGGCATCAAACAGCTACACCTGAAGCTTCCAGCAAGCACTCACAAGTGGTCAATATCTTACACAACTTTTTTTTCCCCAAAAAATAACAACTGATAACTGGTCTGCAGTCATATTTTGTTAGGCCCACATAGGTTTTTAAAGTTTTGAATCAGTATCAACATTTAAAAATCAGAAGCCTCAACTAGAAATCTGAATTTCCAGCTTCAGGTTGCAGGGAATGGAGTAGAGTCAAAGAAAAAAGCCTTGACAACAGCAGGCCACAAGGCAGCCCTCAGCTGCAGCTGGGAGACAATCAGCCAGTAGTGCTATCTAACTTCCAATAGCCCTCCTCGGACCACTTCACACATTGGTCCTACATGCCTGGCTTCTATAGGCATTTGTGTGTGCAACCCCTGCTTTAATCTAAAAGGGAAAAAAAAGAAGTTCATACCTAGGCTATCAACTGTTTCATCATCCTTCTTCTTTTCTCCAGACTGTAAAAGAAAATCCAAACATAGGTCTTTGGACCAGTTTATTCTGAACCTGTTCTAAAACTAGCAGCCTGATTCTACCTAAAGGGCCCAAAACCAACCAAAATGGCATCTACTATTGGTCACTAATTTTAAGTAACTATTCAGGGGCTCCCATTGGTCAAATCTGGAATAATTTGAGCACCAAATAATGAAGTACTGTAATGAATTATATAAATAATTAAAAATAAAAGAATCCTTAAGTCCATACTAGGTAAATAGATAAGTGGAAAGAGAAGGAAAGGCTCTTGCTTAGAATAGAATGCCAAATGAGGAGCAGTAAATGTGGAGAGTGCTAGAGGGGAAAATCATCATTTTGCAACCTCATAGTAAAAAATACTTCAGGCAAGAATTAACAATGAATTTCTTGACTAATGGATATTTAAGTTGTTCACATTTTGGGGGTATTACAAAAAAATATTTCAATGAACAGAGGTAATTAAAGTTACTTAAAGTAGAATAGCTTGGTCATAGTATTTCAAATTAACATAATCTACCCAAACTGACTTCAAATAGGGGCGTGGGGGGGAGTCTACTGTCATTGTCAATAATGATTATCAGTTTTTAAAATATTTTCTTTCATAGCATTACTTTTTTAACTTTATGACTTCTTTATTGTTGTCAAACATTTATAAAGTACATTCACCAAATAGTCTATTGCTATGCTATTTAAAAGGTTTAACTTTTTCCACTTGGATCAAAGTAGAATGATGTCTTAAAATGGCCCTCACCAGGTATCTAGAATACATGTACAGGAAATAGGCTTTCTTGCTATTGCAACCATGCAGGAAATGTGCTGCCCGATCGTACTCTTTAACATCAAAGTAGGCTTTGGCCAGGGTGTAAGCATCCATATCCTGGGCATCTTCCTAGAAGAGACAAATTTTTGTATATGGTTGGGAATAAGACAAAAAAGTTCAAATCCAATTTTAAGATGTAAGAAGAAAAAATTTTTCTCTCCTTTTCCTCCTCCCAAAACCATATATATAATGAAGTAAAGTCAGATAACTTTTTCTTCAAAACAAAAAGTTATGGGAGCCCAGCTAAAGTGGCTTGGTGGTCAAACATCGTCCTATGAACCAGGAGATCCCGGTTCGGTTCCCAATCTGGGCACATGACTGGAGGGGGAGGGGCGGGGGGACGCGGGGCTATAACCTGGGCATGTACCCACCCAGACCGGGAATCAACCTGTGACCTTTCAGTGCATCCTTCTCACATCATTGATGTTTCTATAGCTCTCTCTCCCTCTCCCTTCCTCTCTGAAATCAATAAAAATATAACTTTTTTAAAGTTAGAGGAAAAAATAAAAATTTGTAAAATATTAAACCAACACACTCAGAAACTTGTATTGTTTCTGACAATGCGGAAGTTGTACAGGCTTTAGTACTAGGGACCTATATTCAAATTCTAACTCTTTGATTTTCTGGCTTCATGACATCAGTAGGAAAGTTACTTGGCTTCTCTGAGTATTCACTTCTTCATCTGTAAATGGAGCCAATAATACAGATTTGACATGAGGGAAAAGGTAAAAGAAAGTCGTGGAAAATGTCTGGCATTAATATTTGGCATTCCCTTCCTTCCCCAGGCTTTTAAATTTCTACATAAATGCAATATACTGCAGTTACTTATACTTTTTGTACTTCAAGAACATTTTGACATATTAGTGCAAAAAACTACAATATAGCTATAATTCTCTATGTGAAAAAATGAAATAATGCATATTTACCTTAAACACATATAATCCACATCCCAAACTCTAGGGATAAGTTGATTAAAATAATTTAATAATTTCATTCTCCTCATCCTTCTTGCCCCAAATATTACCAGCACAAAACAGGAACCAAAACATACTCAGTGTTTTCTTCACTGGATGAACGAACGTGTCTTACATGTGGCTCTTCAGCTTAGGATTCTGGTGGCCCTTTTCATATCCACTTACCTTTTGCTTATTTCTTCCCCTGCCCCCTCTCAACCTACATTACACCTTTTTAAAAATGTTTTTATTTATTTTAGAGAGAAAGGTAGTAATAAAGAGGGAAGGAGGGAGAGGAAGAAGGAGAAGAAGAGGGAAAAGGAGAGAAACAGAGATCAGCTGCCTCCCACAAGCACCACCGGACCAAGGAATCAAGCCTGTGACCTGGGCATGTACCCACCCGGCTGGGAATCGACCAGCGACCTTTCAGTGCACCGAGGGCACTCAACCAACTGCACCACACCAGCCAGGCTGCATTATAACTTTCAGAGTAAAAAATATTCATTGTGTTTAAAGGGAGGGAGGAATCAAGTAACAAAACGGATTGTGATGAAAAGCACTCAGAATACATAGTCTATGTAAACACATGTACTATAGGTGACATAAAACATATTCACATCTCCTTTATTTTTTTAATATATTTTTATTGCCCTAACCGGTTTAGCTGAGGATTTTTTCCATTGATTTTTAGAGAGAGTGGAAGAGAAGGGGAGAAGGACAGAGAGAGACAAACATCAATGATGAGAGAGACACATTGACTTGTTCCCTCCTACACACACCCTGACTAGGGCCAGGAATTGAATGTGCAACCAAAGGTACATGTTCTTGACTGGAATTAAACCTGGGACCCTTCAGTCCTCAGGCCAACACTCTGTCCACTGAGCCAAACCAGATAGGGCCACATCTCCTTTAATTCCCTCAATATCCCCATAAAGTAAATACCACTGTCCGCATTTCACAGATGAGGAAACTAGGGTTCAGGAGGTTAAATTGCCGAAGGTCCCTAGTGTGGCTGAGACGTGAACCCAGAGCTGTGCGGATCCAAAGCCAGTTCCGCACTGTTGTAAAAACCTCCGATTCTGGCTCATTGTCTAGGCTGGGCTACAAAAGCTAAAGGGCTGAAATCTTAAGCGAGGATTGTTTGCTTATTCTCTCCAGCTTAAGTAAACGCGCCACCGGATCCTTCCTAGCTCAACACAACCACACAGACAAAAAGCGCTTAAAACGCCCAGCTCTTGAAATGCTCGCATTCCTTTTACAAACATTGCTGCGAAGTAAGCAGTCGGCTCCCTCCGGCGACAAGTCATTACCTCTGGGGTCGATGGGGAGCAGTCCTTACCTCTGTCATAGGCGGCGGCGGCTGCAGCTCGACTAGAGGCAACGCCGGGAGGGAGAAGGCCAACTCCGCGGACCTGGAACACCCCGCAAACTCAATCAGCTCCACCAGCCCCCCAAGACCAAGGACCCATGCCCGGTCCCGCCCCACCCCGGCATCTCACCATTTGCTGCTGTGCAGTAGGCCCCGCTCTCGGGTAAGGCCAGCGATAAGTAGCAGCTGCTTTTTAATTTCCCGCAAGTTTGAGAAATCGCCACTAGCTGACAAGATGGGTACCCCTGGAGCCGTCAGGGCCACAGGGACTACCGAAGGGCTCGCGGCCATCTTTCTGTCTCAGCCGCTCCAGCCAATCAGCAGCGATGATGCTAGCTGCGCGCCGGCACCAAAAAAGTTTGCCTGTTATTGGTGCTCTCTTGCTCTGGGACAACCAATCAGAGCTCTCAATTCTCATAACGTCACCGAGAGGCCGGGAAAGAGGAGATCATTACTTCCCCGATTGGCCAAGAGCTACTGGGGCGGGAAAATTAGAAGCAGGACAGGGGGGTGGGGAAGCCACGATCTCTGGGCGTGGCTCAGAGGAATAGGGACTGGGAAAGGTGGACTGGAAAACGGGAGGTGGGAATTGGAGCCAGAAAGAGGGCAGAAGAGGACGTGTCCTGCACCTTTGGGATGATGTGATTGGACTAAAGATGAAAAGAGTGTAGTTTGTGAGCGGATCCTGTGCCACTGATGAACCAAAGTGATGCAGGTGTCTAACGAATCCTTGCAGAACAACTTACATCTTTGCCCCCACCCCCCTACTCGATGAATACAATCCCTTGCAAAACTCCGGGTGACATGTTGCCTTTCCTACCTCGCCATGCTGCTGGTTGTTTAGACTCAATGCCCCAAGTCCGGCCTTCTTTCTTGCGTTGCCTCTAGTCGAGCTGCAGCTGCCTCCGTCTGCTGCAGAGATAAGGACTGCTCCCCATCAACCCAAAATGTCGTGACCTGTCACTGGAGGGGAGCAGACTGATTGCTTCTCAGGAAAGTTTGTAAAAGAAATTCAATCATTTAGGTGTTTTCAGCGATTTTATGTGAGGCTGTGTTGTGATCCCTGCTCTGGCCAACAGATGGAGCCATTCCCTCCCCACTCTTCAAACCGCTCGAGCAGAAGAGCGGCGCAATAAAGGGTTGCTTAAAAGCCATGTGGTCCGCAGATGGGAGGACTGTGACCATCCCAACACTGGAGGCCAAAGAAGGGCGAGGACGGACTACTACCAGGAAGAAGTTATTACAAATAAACCCAGCTAGGACTGAAAGACAGTCCGTTTCCCAGCAGGGTTTTGGCATTCTTAACATTTTGAACTGGTTCTTTGTTGGGGATGGGGGAGGGCCGTCCTGTGCCATTGTGAAATGTTTAGTATCTCTGGCCTCTACCCACTAGATATTGATAGCATGCTCCTCCCCTAAGCTATGACAACCGAAAATGTCTCAGACATTGCCAAATGCCTGGGGAAGGAGGGGCAAAATCATCCCTATTTGAGAACCACTAGTTTGGGCCAGTAATGGTGTTGGGGCAGTGGCCTATGTAAAATGGGGGATGTACTCTAAGGGCCACCTTCCCTGAAAGCTCAATTTCCAATGCTTGGTAGTTGGGGGAAGAGCCTTAAAACAAGGAAACTAGCCCCCCTCACCTGATGAGTAGGAAAAGCTAAGAGGGTCACAAAGAAAAGGGGAGAGAGCAAATGTGAATTTGAAACGTACGTTCTTAAGATTGTTCTATAAGGTGGGGGTTATTTGTATATATACTAGTAAAAGCCCAGCCACCATTAAGGCAGAATGACCAGTCACTATGACGTGCACTGACCACCAGGGGGCAGATGCTCAACACAAGAGCTGCTCCCTGCTGGCCAGTGGGCTCCCACAGCGGGAGCACCACTCAGCTCAGCTGGAAGCCTGGCTCATGGCTGGCGAGCATAGTGGTGGTGGCAGGAGCCTGCCTCTCCTGCCTCAACAGCAGTGCTAAGGAGCAGCGAGCCAAGCAGTAAGGAGCCGTAAGGAGCGAGGGGTCCCAGATTGGAAGAGGAATGGCCAAATGCCAGTGTAGACCCATGTGCTAGGATGTGGGCAGAATTAAAAAGTTGAAAATACAGATGGACATTAACCTGCCTCCCCGCAGCTTGGGAAAGGTTGAGTCATAGTCTTCTGGGGATGAAGAATATGAAGATGATAAGCAGCCTGAGCACTGGGGGAAAATGTGTTTTTAATAGCTGTGATGACCATCTAAGCTATTATGGCCCCATCTTTACTGATCTAAGCTCATACTTAAATGGAAATTTACTTGAAAAGCCCTTTCTTTGCATAATGGAAAGGCAGGCTTGTCCAGTTCCATCTCCCCAAGGTAATAGCCCCAGGATGTAATGGGAGACCTCCCTACCAGCCCTGCTCATCAAGGGCTTGCAGCCTAGGTACCCCCCCTTCTCAGTGTCCTTCATCCCTGTTACTCAATAAGGTCCCCCTAAGGATGCCTCACCTCCAAGGTCACTGTTGAGAACTGTTAGGAAGCAGGATAATTGATCAGGCTGACATCATTGTGTTGCTCAACCTCTTTATCTCAAGAAGATGTTCCAGAAGGGCTTCCACTGCAGGGGTAACAGGCTGAGCCTCATTGCAGCAGGCTTCCCATTGAGTAGGCAAGAATGGTGACTTCCCCCAGGACAGCCACAGGACCCCACACCAGGTTACCCATGATTCCAAGCTGGGTGTGGCTCCATCCTTACCCAACCTGGCAACTCCTGCTTCCCTGCACTGCTCTAGTCCCTACCAAAGGGGGGCAGGAGGGAGTTAATATTTTTTAACTACTAAAGTGAACATTTATTTAGAATAATAAAAGAAGTTATACAAATGACACATTTAAGAAAACTGACAAATAGGACAAATGGTACAAAATAGGGGAGGGGGACACCATATATTTTTATTAATTAACTGCCTGACATATCTCAATAATACATTTTTCCCTACTTAGGCTGCAAGCTTCTTCTGTTTTAATCGAATCCTTTCACTTTACTAACCTTGACTCACAAGAGCTTCCTTTTGTTTTGTTTTTTTAATTGATTTTAGAGAGAGGAAGGGAGACAGAAAGAGAGACAGACAGAGAGACAAACAGGCAGAGAGACAGAGACAGAAGAAACATCAATCGGCTGCGTCCCACTCAAGCCCCAATGTGGAATAAAACCCGCCACCTTTTGACATATGAGACGACGCTCCAACAAACAGCTACACCGGCCTTTTGCTTTTCTTGTACTTGAATTTTGGTTGAGGTACAAGATGCATACAATAAAATGCGAACAGCACACTGATCTTAAGTGTACACTTCAATGATTTTGTTACATATGCACATACTCATATAACAATCACCCAGATCAAGATACACATATTTTTGATCTGCAGTTGGGAATACATGTGCAAACAGGTGACCTAATTTTTTATTTCATGCTGGGTAGGTGCTCCTAAGTCCTGTGTTGTACAAGGGTCTGTACAACAGGTGTTTCTGACAGGTGTTTGCTGTTAACCCAGTTTTATTACTAATACCATTTTTTAACATTAATTCAGGTCCAGGTATTAGGCTAAGTGTTTTATGTGCATGCTTGCAACAAAATACTATTATCATTTCCATTTTACAGGGAAAGAAATTGAAGCTTTGAGAATTTTAATGCCTTGCTAAAGGTCACCCAAAGAAGCAGGTAAAGCATGGGACTTGAACCAAGGTCTGCCAGACTTCAAGGCCCACGTGCCTACCCACTGCCATAGCAGGGGCCACCTACTGTCACCACTTCAAAGTGACCTACTGTTTCCCCATTTTTGTTTTATTTTGCTTATATTCTCCAGGAACCTCTGGGCTCCCCCTTTAAAACTGGGATAAAATGATCTCCATTCTCAGTATGGCCCAGTGCGTGATTCCTGCCCCGAGGAAGACATCAGAGGACCCCACACCAGTCCACATTTCTGGAGGCCACTGTGGCCACTCCGGTGGGCTTGTGGGTAGATAAAACAGCAGAGTTCTCACTCTTGCCCAGGAGTCAAGAGAGTGCAAAGTTTAGACCTGCTCAGACCTGAGAATGTTCTCTATTTGGATTTAGAGTATAAAAGTCTTCATTTTGGAATCCGATAATCTTTGGTTCAAATCCTGCTTCAACTACTTCCTAGCCAAGTGACCATGAGCAATTTATCTCTTAGAATGAGAGTTCCCTCAACTGGAATAGGAGGATGTTAAGAAAAGCTTGCTCAGCCGAAACCGGTTTGGCTCAGTGGATAGAGCGTCGGTCTGCGGACTGAAAGGTCCCAGGTTCGATTCCAGTCAAGGGCATGTACCTGGGTTGCAGGCATATCCCCAGTGGGAGATGTGCAGGAGGCAGCTGATCGATGTTTCTAACTCTCTATCTCTCTCCCTTCCTCTCTGTAAAAAATCAATAAAATATATTTTTTAAAAAAAAGAAAAGAAAGGCTTGCTCATAGGGTGTGTTTTTTGAAAAATATGTTTTTATTTCTTTTAGAGAGAGAGAAACGTCGATGTGAGAGAGAACATTGATCAGTTGCCAACCAAAAACCTGGGTATGTGCCCTGACCGGGAATAGCTTGGCTAAAACTACACAATTAGCTTTTGCAACTTGGCTTTGCTTGCTATGGGAACCTGAACACAGATGTAGTTGTCCCCTTTAAATATTGGACTCTGCCGTGACTGGTTTAGCTCAGTGGATAGAGAGTTGGCCTGCGGACTGAAAGGTACCAGGTTCGATTCCAGTCAAGGGCATGTATGTACCTTGGTTGCAGGCCCATCCCCAGTAGGGGCTGTGCAGGAGGCAGCTGATTGATGTTTCTCTCTCATTGATGTTTCTAACTCTCTATCCCTCTCCCTTCCTCTCTGTAAAAAAAATCAATAAAATATATATTTTAAATATTGGACTCTGCAGAAGGTCGGGGCCGCTTCTCTCTTGGGCTTCCCGAGTGGAGGCGCGAACACTGGCCAGTCAATAAAGGCTCTCTAAACTTTAATCAGTCTGGAGTTCTGGTCATTCTGTCACTCGCGCTCCACAACAGTGCCCATTTATTGAGCCACTCTGGGGGTGAGGGTGGAGGTGTGCAGTGAGCAAATGCTAACTGCTATGCCTACTTTTCTCAACAACCCTGGGAGGGCAGTGTTATTTCCTCCATTTCATATGTGAGGAAACTGAGGCTCTGAGAAGCTGACAGCCATAGCACAACACCAGTGTGTGGCCAAGGCAGAATCCAAACCCAGGCTTACATCTAAAAACTTTGTTGTTTTAACTAGGACCTTTCCCTTTAAATTAGCCTTT